TACTCTTAAATAATGTTCATTTATTTGTTTTGGATTTTCTACGGTATGGGAGACAAAAAACGTACAACACTCGATCTTCTCATCTAATTCTTATAACACTACAACTTTTATAGAACACTGATTTATTTTTATTAGACGGACGTAAAAAGGTTTTAATGTACAGATGTCGAGAAAGATAAAAACGTTAAATTAAATAGGGCAGCTTTGTGTGTTGAAAAGTTACGAAATCACCTCAAGTCATTAAACATTTTTATGCCTGGCTTTGGTTATTACATTATTCCGTGTTATAAAAAAAATATTTCAATAGAAAAGAAGCTCATTGCAGTTTTATAATTAATTAGTTGACATGGCAAACGATTATTTGCCATATGACGTATTTCGACAAAATTTGAGTTCCTGTTATTGTTAACGGTTCTTGAGTTAATCTGACAAGATAGCGATTTTTTTATTTTTTTTAAAGAAAAGTAATTCTTCTATACATATTATTTCTCACCACAAAGATAAATGTTCTCTGTTTCTTCGCTTCTATTGGTCGCATCCTGATGTTTTACAGCCTAAATTCTTCCTTCAAACGATAATTTACAATATATTTATCTGTCAATACAGATACATCAGTTCCTGAATGATATAGCGCGATCATTAAAAAAAAATTTATTTGTTTATTGTGCAATACATATCTCGGAAACTTTAATTCATCTATGCTTATATATTTAAAGATAAGAGTTGTATTTGTTTATTTGCATATAATATCTCGTGTAAAATTATACTTTTCCAGCTTAATTTTTTAAAATTAAGAAAGAGCTTATTCGCTTCCCCGAAAAGAAATATAAATAGAAAACGTCGGAGTATAATTTTGAGATATATTTTTATGGCTTCATTCATGTTTTATCTGTAAACGTCGCGTACAAACTGATGAGTGATTGAGTTGTATCTGTCAATCGTCATGCATTTATACGACTTTTTCAGGCAGAAAAAGTTAATATTCGCGATCAAAGCCACTTCAAAGCTTTCATGTATCTACACAGAACTGGAAACCAAAAAATAGAGGACTGCTTTGCCGTGCACCCAAATTGAATTTACGTTTAGTTAATGGAACTTCTTTTGAATGTAGATAGCAAATGTTATAGAACCGTAATGATTTTAACAGGTTTTGCACTATTTTATATTAATTATTACCGCCCTTGTTGTTCAATGGTTATACATAGCCTAAACTTCCGAGGCACGATAAAAAAAATATTCGGTCGGACAGGGCAAACAGATCAGATTATAATGCTATTCTGTGCACGGCTGCTGCTGCTAAAGCCCGAAACGTTGAACCGTAGTTAAAATAATTTCCAAAAAGTTTAAACGAAATCAGACAGTATTTAAGCATTATGTTATTTTGTAACATGATTAATTAAAAATTTAAAAAAAAAAAAAAACCCTTAATTCTTAATTCCGAATTCCGTATAATAACAGTGAACAAAAATGTTTCCACTATAGTTACCTTTTTAACAACAGGAAACTGCGTGACAACTTGAGATTCGCATGATTGAGGGTAAATTCCTCAGAACCGTGTGTTGGATTTTCCTTCTATATCTTATACCTTCTAACAAAAACATGTAACATGTAATAAGGACCGAATTTCATTTCATCTATCTTATGAAAATTATATTAATAGAAACGTGTATTTCTGAACATATTAATAAAAAAAATAAGTCGTGGCCGTCTCCAAAACTTAAATGCTGAACGCATTGCCATAAGAAAGAAAATGGATCACGGGTTCGGATCCCAGAATAATTGACGGGCTCTTTAGTGTAAGGGTAGCAACGTATGGCTAATAATAAACGAATCATGTGTTCGATCTCCACCGAGTCCAACATGTCTAATTTTTCAATTTATAATGTTTCTGAAACATGTTTGACTTAGTCTGAAAGTCTGGTTAAAGGGGGGGGGGGGGGTGGTTAAGAACCACCGTCCACAGATAAACAACGAAAGTTTAATCACGTAGTGGTATTAGTCTGTGGAATTTCCGAACCATGATCGATAGGTCGATATCGCATCTGCTTTAGATATTATATGGCTGGAGTATTTCATCTACCATCCAGTGAAGCCCGTGTTGTTTGTCCTCTTCCGTCATAAAAAAAAATAGTTTCGGCAGAGCCTGTCAATAACATCAATAAGTCACACACACAAACATGTCTGTTTAATGCCTCGCGCACGCAACACGCGATATCGCTTACATTCAATAGGTACATTTATTACCTTTACGTAGAAGCCCTAGATAAGACCTTACTAGAGCTATTTATGTGCTACAGTGTAACGTATAGGCTGGCTAATCAGCCGTTAATGAGTTAGATCACTGTGATCACAATACAAGCAATTAACCCTTGAATTCCCTTAGATAACGTGGCTATTGTACGATTGCCACAATCAATCTATACTCACTAATAACATTATACATTAGTCATTTATATGGAAGACCTTGTCTAAAATAATACGTTTAATCGTTAGAGAAAAGGTACGGAATATGACTGTTTGAAAATCTTTATACGTAAAGATAGGAATCGTTACAAAAAAACAAAAATTTATGTTTTAATGTATAGGTGTCATATTACAATACATAGTAGACTAACATTTTTTTATATTAGAGGGGGACAAGCACGTGACAAAAGTATCGTATCCCAACCATATATACAAGATCTAAACAAGGCTGTCAACCTATTTTCTTAGGATATTCGAAAATCCTTATAACTCGAAACAGAAACGAGAAAAACTTCACGGCTTTCATAAGTGGATAGTGTTTCGTGATCCGGACGGTTCTTGCCATCCATTTAATATTAAAATTAATTAGAAACATTTGCGAATCGAACCCACGACCCGGTGATTATTAGTCATACATTACACAGCTATTACACAGACGAGAGTAAATTACATAAAGTCTCCCTCATAAATGGCGACGTTATTATGTAACGAATTTTCTCTTCTCAACAAGAGTAACGATGACGTATTAATTTTCCGTTCTTACCTGGATTGAAGATAATTGTATGATGAAAAGATATTTCATATTTTGTATACAAGACTGAAATATGCTTAATATTATTAAATTATATATACAAATAGAGATATATAGAGGCAGGTACAAGAATGTATTAAAATGCATAACATGTTTTGTTATCTCTGTAATTCAATTCAATAAATTGAAAGCACTATTATAAGTTCTGTCTGTAGTTTAAAACGTAAAATATAACAGTTTATTTCATTACCTTTTTTTAATCTATGGCCCGTCGATACAGATGCTTCGCAAAAGCCATGTGTCCCTAATGTCAAAGTTAAATCTCTTATGCTTTTAAAGATGGCGCCACAAATCAATTGTAAATAAATTAGTACTTGTTTCTTTTTTTTAACACTTAAATGTTGCATTTCAATTAGGACTGTTTTGTTTTATTTTAACATATGAACCGACATTAAAACCTTAAAAAAACGAATTTTTCGACCTCAATTCGGTTTAAAGTTACATAAACATTTACAACACCATCCGCCGCATTAGCAATTTTGAAATTTAATGTTAGCGTTTTGAACTTATGTTATTCAAATTAGACGATGTATTTCGCGATCTCACTGGATTACATAATTTAAATTAGAATAATAAGCTTCAATCTGTGAAGACGAGCTTAATGTTCTACATTATACAGTATAAAGCGTTCCGATCTTTATTTACCGTGATACTGAATTAAATAGTCATCCAATTCTCTCAAAACCATTTTCGAATAGAAAGAAATTGTTTTTTTTTTGTAAAATTAATCTTATTTAAATAAAACACTTTAACGGTTTAAAACGCGATATATTAGTTAAACTTCCCCGTGACCACGGCTGCTGCAAAGCATCCGAAACGTCGGGCCGAAGTTAAAAATCATTTTCAAGTTTAACTAATATATCGCGTTTTAAACCGTTAAAGTGTTTTATTTAAATGTGTACTACTCGCGTAAACTATAGACAGTATAAAATTAATCTTATCTTATCATATTATCCCTTTTACTCAACTACCGCATAGCCGAAAAGGTGTCTTCAGATTGTATCAGGATATGTTCTTACATATTTTCATAACCAAAGTGGTTATATAATGTGAAAAATATTTAAGTTTTCAGAGAATTTTATATTAAATTGGAATATGTGACATTTTGATTCGTTTCAAAAAGCATGTAGCTATAGAGGAACTCCTTAAATTAAGGTGAGATCTAGAAGATTAATTTGCGCTTAGTAATATCGTAGCATGATTCGTACAGCAGCAAGTAATTTCCGATAGTCGACGTGGTTCAATTTGGCGTGAAGGTGATAGTTTGTGAACTGGAGTGGAGACGACACTCGAAGGGCCTCCAAATTCACTGAACAGTAAAACTCTGATTCGAAAAGAATTGAACAAATAATATATTGACAGTATTTAACCTCCCTTATTGAATATGACCCCACTGAAATGACAGACAATTTGCGGCCCGTTTTGTGTTATAATTTTGTTGAAGATCCTTACTACTGAATACTTCATAAATTATGAAACGTACCAAAGCGTTATATTTTTTGCATCTGATATATACCAAGCTATAATCTGATAAATAGCAATAAAAACAAAAAAATAACCTTACAAAACATTAACTATACACATATAACATTATATTATAACTACGACATATTTTTCAAACAATACTTTGCAAGGATGTATGGATGTTTATTTCTCTTAGCTGGACCATCTAAAATTTAGTGTTCATGTAAATGCTACACTAACATTACATTTATCCCACAAAATTAATTATAATGTAAATGTAATTAAATTTACTTACTTACCTATGTTAGTATCGCGTGAAAAGTTGAGGTTTAAGTGAAGTTCTGTCATAATTTAGTTCACGTAGTCTTCGCTTACAGACTGGGCAGACAGGAAGTGAATCTGTAGACACATATGTTTATTTAAACACTATCTATCTCTTTGTTGCAGGTTAACTGTTTACCACATACTCAGTATCACATTTATGAGCATCGTGATCGAGCAGGTTCAGTCGCAAGACCAAAATAAAGAGCACCAGGGCCCTCAGATTTGTGGCGGGAGGCTAAAAGGCACCGTGGGGACAATCCAGACCCCCAATTTTCCGAACCCGTTCCCTGTTCCCATTAAATGCAAATGGATCATCGAACACGATATCGTAAATGGAACTATATCGATATATTTCACGCAGCAGTACATCACTAGCGGTCTGACCTTTACCGAGTACATGTACTATGACGATACCTACAAGTTAGGGGAGAGGCGGGCGCTAACCGTTACAGAGGAGAACATCACTAGGATAAAATGGCTGCAGGTAATTTAATGCGTGTAAACTTACTAAAATATATTAGTTTTAAGGACTTTTTATTTTATAGGTAACAACAAGTTATGGTGTTCTTATGTAACATTGTTTAGTAATGTTTCAATTATATTTATAAAGCGTTATTCTCCAATAAAAATAATTTATTGTTTATATAGTCAAGCTGAGTTACACCCTTGATATATCCAATAAAATACGATTACAGTTTAGGGACAACGTTTACGACGACGAACACAAGATAACACTTGGGACTTTTAATGTTTTTATTATATTATGTAACTAATATTTTTTTCTTAAAATTTATTTTTGGATCATATTAGATACATATTTAGATGTAAGTAAGTGTTTTAAAAACTATAACATAACACTTATAGTTTAGACAATATAGTTAGAGACAATATTTAAAATTAAAGTAACGTCAATAAAATGAGTTAAGTTTGTTGACGTTAAGTTATTATGACTAAGCTCACACGTGGTATAAGTACTATAATTTTAATTTAAAAATCGAAAATAAATTAAAAATTTTCGACTCCGGCAGGACATGATTTCAATTTATCTTCGATTTTTAAATTATATATTGCCTTCATGTGCAATAACATGTAAAAAATAATAAAGTTTTCAAATACTATAATTTTATCAGAATTTGGGCTTGTATTGTTTCTTTTGTTTTTCAACTATTACTAAGTACTAATGTAAGCCGCATTGGCAATGTCCATTGCATTGCATTCAATAAAAAATAGTCTTGCCTTTTTTTCTCTGGTCACCTACTTGTCCGTGAAAATATGAAAGGGACACATTAAGGGGCCTGTCCAGCCCCCACGAGGGAAGAAACGCGATTTTACGCACTATTATTACAATATTCTTTCAGTGACAGTAACTTCAAAGCATTCAAGTTTTTTGGGCAGTTACAATGGGAATTATCTGGAGCGAAAACCAATGTCTTTTTTCTATTGTTGGCGAGAAATATGTTGTAAAGTTTTCAAACAAACGGTCGAGCTTCAATTTTTTTTTCGGATAGTTTGCTTTGATAACTTTTTTCTGTGCAAAAGATATTGTTTCTTTTTAGAAGATATTGCTCGAAAAAATTATAATGGGTCAGCAATAATAAAATGATGCAGATAATATAAACTTTTAACATATAGAAAAAAGCTGTAAGCAACAATCCACCAAAGTATTATTTGGCTTCAATTATAGCTGTTTCTATCCTACCTTATGTCCAAACTTTAGTCGTTAATCATTTAAGCCCGAATAAGAAATATCTTTCAATCGAATTACTTGAATATAGATAAGTGCCTTTGACAAGGTTCACAGCTGAGAGAGAATATTTCTTCTTTTTTATTCCTCAGGATACCGTCGGTGTAGTCTTTTTAGGAAGTGTCTTAACTGTCAGAAAAACGTTGAGAATTGTAGCGTTATAACAATGTTTCAGGCTGGCAAAGTACCAAATAGGAGCTTTGCGCATTGCATGCCAATGGCCAACTTTAAAGCAACTATTACACTATCATATAAAAATATGATGTTTATTGTTAGCTGCGCAACTGCAGATATTCCAAAAACATATCCTTTTAAGTACGCAATAAAATCGAAACTACTATGCCTACAGTATAGCTAAGAATAATGTTTTTTTATGATAAAGGAAGAAGACAGAAAAGCAAAAGGGTTCACTTGCTGATGTGAAATATGCCGGTCATAAACTAAAGGAGATGCGCTATCGACCTATTTTGGCTTTGGATATTCGGATGTCCACCGACTGAAACCGAAGCGCGATTTTTTTTTAATGTTCGAGGAGGACAGACGATCATTGGGATCTCATGTGGTAGGTGATATACCCCAGTCTATCTATCTAAACAAGATGCGCGGTCGACCTTTTTTGGCTTTGGATATTCGGAAATTTACACACTGAAGCCGAAACGCGGTTAATGCCATGAAGTGCTTTTTAATCTGTGGACGATAGTTCGTGACCTGGACAGAGTTTCGATATACTTACCACCCCTTTATATTCTGATTAAAGACGAATGTTTCAGAAAAGTAATAAATTGATTAGAAGCATGTTGGACGCGGTGGGGATCGAACCCCCGGTCCGTTGATTATTAACCATACATTGCTATACTATTTATTACGTAAAAAACGAATTGAAACACGATTTCAAGTTATGTTTATGCCTGTAATTACGACCCGACGTTGCGTGCGCTCTTACTACTGTGGTTACAGGCGTGGGGTAGATCGTAAGATAGTACTACTTTACGTTACTTTAGTTACTTTACGTTATGCATATGATGCTACTTAGTTTAATCAACAGTCCTAATTTATTATTAATTTAATGTTAATAATAAATAAGAAATAATCAAACTAAACTATCTAAACTAAACTTTATTGTTTAATTTTAACAATAAATTCTACTATTATGAAACCCGGAAAGTATCCGTGTTCATGAGAACGATGAAAAAGCTAAGTTAAATTAATATGAAAATGTTGATATTTAAAGGACTAGAATTTGGGTATTTGTATGTGTGCAATGAAATATTCACTCTTACTTTGCACGTCTTTCCGGCGTTCCCTCCAGAGAAAGACCCAAAAGGTTGAAACACGTACTAATTATGTGTGTACACTGTGCAAATATTGAAGATCGGCGTAATAGGTTTTCATATCAGCGGAATTTATATCACACGCCATATCCTCATTACGTATTCTTACCCTTTACCCTGGGGCGTTGTATGGATTTTTTCCAACATCGACCACTTTTTGTGAGCAGAAAATTTTCTTTCATTTCAGTGCCTTCTTACTTTGATCATGTAGGACACGTTAACAAGTTCTCTATTTAAGTTTTATGTGCGCGGTAAAATATAAATAGCTATATAACTTATCTTAATTAAATTGTGTTTAAAATATTAATTTTAAACACAATTTCACTATTATACTTTTAGACGAAAGTTTTGAAAAGTGGTTATTTCATAGATTTCGGTACGAACTATCAGATTATCCATTGTGCTAAGAACTAATTATGTGTGCCGCCATTTTGATATGTATACCTAGTATAAAATGGCGCCAACATGTTTTTTTGTATATTCGCCTTGACGAATCTAACGATGAAATCAGTTATCAACGAAATAATAATATGTATAATCATTGATTTAAGTAATTAATTACATCAAATGCAACTGTAAAAATATGTATACATAAATACACGCAGATTGTGTATGTGTATATACATACACAATATAGTAATTAGTGTACGTCACAGCTTGCATCGTAACAGAACCAAAAATGATGCTATTTTTAATTTGGTTAGTCTTTTATGGGTGCGCCAGTTGCAGCACTTAATTAAATTATAAAATAACACGACCTCATTAATTAGATGTTTGTAATTAGCATATGTAGAGGATACGGCGAATGCGTCTGCATTTAGTAATTAAACGATATAAATCCCTATGTTTGGCATGGGGTAGGCACTGCTTTGTCGGCTACAATTCTATTTGCAGTAACTACTAAATATAATCTCCAGGGATTTAAAAAACCCAGAAGCTCTACTAATCTATAAGACCGCTTGGTAAGACAACTTTTGAGCTACGCGCGCGACGTTCAAATCGAAGCACCAAGAAAACGATGTTTGTTCTCGCTGAACTTCCACGGTGTTCTTATCATGAACTTATATATCTCAAACTTAGTCTATTCTGGTAATAGCTGACGTCACAAAGTCTGCCCCAGTTTAGGGAAAGCAATAAAACACATGAACTGGCAATGTTAATTAAAGTTAGCACTGGATATATAGTTCGGGGGAACTACATTACTTCGCGCTAGAAAACACAAATTTTCGGTAACATGAAACCTCAACTAACCAAGATATGCTATCTATTTTATTACTATTGTACTATTTTATTTTTATCGAACAAATAGGATAATGTTTATATTAGCGGTACCACAAAATCTATAATTGAAATACTGTGTTATTAACGTTTAATATTGTGTTTTAGTAGATAAAGATGTGAGAAACTTATTGTTTTTATTATTCTTTAAATTGTAATATTTAAGTGAAACTTTTAACATTTAATACGATTTCTTTGATTGTCAATTGATATTTTCATTTATTACTAGCTGTGCCCGTGACTTCGTCCGCGTGGAATAGTGACTTTAGGTAGAATTTTTAATTATTTAGGCGCATGTGTCTTATTAATAAGACACATGTGTAAGTACAGTGTTAAAGTGTTTCAGAGTTACTTTAGCATTTATAATATTAGCAAGTTCTATAATAATTAATTACGATACATCCGCACAACTTTTCATCCCTCATGCAACCCGTTATTAACTTTTTTCGTACAGCAAAAGGTTTTAGAATGCATGTCATCGGAAAGGGCGCATTCAAGGCAGCCAATCTGTGTTGTAAGTGCTACTTTGCCGCAACACTCCCACTCTTACTTCACATCACTCCTACTCTAACTCCTACTCTCACTCCCATTCCCAAAAAAGAAAGTTTCATTGTTTTAGCTTAAAAAATCACGAATTCCCATACAAACTTCCATCTCCTTTTTAACCCCCTAACAACCCTTTTTTGCCATTAAACGTAGCCTAAGTCCTTTCTCAGGCTCTAGAATATCTGTATATAATTTCATTGATATCGGTTCAGTAGTTTCGGCGTAAAAGCCGGACAGACAGACAGAGTTACTTTCGCATTTATAATATTAGTATAGATATCAGTTGACAACCAATCTATCTATATATATTCGTTTATTTATATCATACCTAGATAGATAGATAGGTTGGCAAATCTACAAGTCCCCCGTAGCCTAAGTCTGTGTATACTCCTATATTTTCTTGATGCAAGACATAGTGCGTAACATGAAACGCCAAATAATTATTAATCTAGACTTGGTTTTTCCATAGGTACAAAGTCCAGTGCTAGTGGTCGAATTGACTCTAGATCGGCTCGAAGGCACGCAGCTACGGGCGTTGGGCCTGTTATCCGTGTTTGGGTTAAACGTTACATACGCAGTACGCGGACCTCACACGATAGATAATGTGCCGAAAACCTCCTGTAGTGCCATCGAGTGCCGGCTCCTTGGGCATTGCTACGCTACTCTAGATTACACGTAAGTTAAGGAATCCTACTAACTACTAGATTTAAAATTAATTAACCTCCTAATTTTATATTAAAATTCGATTATAAATTGAAAAATAATACGACTCGGGCAGCACTGGAACCGGCATCACACAATATAGTGCCATCATATATTGCATATGATGGCACTATATAAATTAAAAACATGGAAATAAATTCAAAGTTTTTAAACAAATGATCTTAACTAAATACAACAGTAATGATTCTTATTTTTGACGGCCTTATTGGTCTATTGGTAGCTATATAAAGCTTATAACTGTTGTGGTCGGGGTTCGATCCCCTTTCGAGCCTTTTGCTTGCTATGACCCACAATAATTAAAATTCAATATTTAAGGACTGCTGTTAAAATATAATATTTCACTTTCCACACCCGGGCCATCGTGTTTCTAATTTATATATTTTTGAAGTATGTTGGACTTCATCTGATAACCTGACTATTAAATGTGTGGTAGAAATATCGAAATTCCACCGTCCACAGATGAAAAAGACATGGAGTTTGATCGCGTTTCAGTTCGGTCTGTTGATTTCCGATCGACGACCAAAATAGGCCGACAGCCATGATATCAATAGAGATGATTGATATTATGGCTTGGGTACAATGATTTGGTTTGTTTGGTAGGAAACAGAATTCCGATCAATTACGGGCATGGAAACGTGTTCGCGCCATGCCCCACATGGATTTTCACACACACAGTCTCTTGTGAGCTCCATGTGATTAGTAATAACGTGCATATAACTAACTGGGTCTTATTGTTCATTCGGCTTCGCTGCCAAGTCGGGTGAAATTACACATTTAAGGGCTTACCCAACTTAATCTAGCTTTGTAGTAGTTAAATAAATAATATTAATAGTCGTTTATGATATTAAATTAAGAACTGCGGTTATATGTATAGAACTGAGGTTAATAAATTAAAGGACTAGCTAACTAAAAGTAATTGTTAGTTTAGTTGAAACTTCTATGGATCATATTAATAACTGTAATTTCTTCTATATACAGTGTAAAATGGCGTTCGCGTTGTAAATAAAATCACTAATTAATTTCGTTAGTCAATACGAAAAAAGTGATAAGCTTATTTTAAAATATATTTAATTCGGTCCGATCTTATTTGAATGTTATTGTAGAAACGAAATCTCGTGTTCTATATCTGGGGCATGGGGCGGATACTTCTGTGTTGCAATGGTTGTTTTAAAGCGTTAAAGTAGTTGATTAGATTTCTGTGAACAACTCGCAAATCAAAATAGACAGTGTTATGGTTTGCTTTTGAGTTTCAACTATTCGTTTTCAAGAAGTTATCACTATTCAGTAACCTTTTACAAGAATACGTTTATTTGATACTTACCCGGGGTGAGCCAAGTTAGTACGGCTGCTGCACAGTATTATAGAAAGGGACATAACTTTTATAAGTTAACTTATATAATTGGGCAGATACTTTATATCTATGTTATAAATATTATATTAAAAACACAAATTAGTTGATGCGTAAGGTCGACGTTTTGTTGCCTCATTTACATACCTAATGTATGACATTGAACAATCTTGTATTATGTAGTACTTTTCCAACATTGACTTGTTTTTATTATTATATTTTGTGTTTTAGGAAAATGTAAGAACCATACAATAGGTTTTATTTTTATGCCCTCTAACTCCCATAAGATTTTACCGCTAGGGTCTCAAAATTAAATATCACTACTTAGATTAGTCACTGAGCAAGTAAGTTAAGATTTGCGTTTTTGATTTGTTATAGCGACTTCTTCTGTTCCTGTTTCGAGGGATATTCCGGTCCAGACTGTGGAGTTGGCCCTTTATGTCCAGTAACTTCAAATATGTGCAAAAATGGCGGAACGTGCAGGTATTGAATTAGTATGTAAATGTGAAATATAACCATTTAACTATATATTATAAAGTCCCAGGACACTATTGTCCTGAGACTTTGCATCAGTGCAGCCTGGGGGGGTGGGGGGTGTTTTCGGTTCCCCTTGATGCAGACAGCGTATGTGGAACGATTAAATCCAATTAATTTTGTCGGAAAATTACGATTTACGTTTTCCGAGTACCAAGTATAGCATATTATACTTATTGTAATCAGCTAATATGTAGCTGAAACATTTTCTGAAAAAGATTCTCCCGAAAGTTATTTTTTAATATCCTGTACACTTTATCAATCTATTTCCAAAGTTTCTTAGAAGACGATATTCGAGAAATATTTTAATTTGGATTACTTATAACTAATTGATTCTGGGAAAGCAAAATTTTTGATATCTGTTGATAAAATGATACTTTTAGGCAAGTGGGTCCTGCGGCTGTAAGTTGTATTTGTGCGACCGGATATACAGGCGACCTCTGCGAATCTGAAGTAGCTACACCAGGTACCTTTTAAATGTCTATTGTCATTTTTATTTTAAACTAATCATTATAGAAGTTGTTCGTGAGCTAATATTTAGAACTGTAATAACAATATAGAAACGAAAGTCCTAAAATATTTAGACGTAGTCCAAACAATTTGTCTAATAGGTTTTACTCTGATTAAGACAAGAATATAAGCGGGATTCTTAAATAAAAAACTATAATTATGACTAATAAAAAAAAGCTCAAATGCGTGATGCGAATGGACTGTCTTAATTAAAAACAAACCGTATTTTTTAATTTAAGATTAAACAAATACCTTAAAAGTTATAGCGTTAACTTATATATTGGGTTCGTTCTGTTCGTTATTTCTTGTATTCTAATAATTATTCGTACAAGTTGTAGCGTTATCATTATTTAAGGGCTGTTCAGCCGATTTGTACTTGTTGATGCCGTGCTCATAATGGGCGAAACGTCGAGAACCTCTTCTCGCTTTCTACCCAACAATATACAAGTTGTACTGAACGTGCCGTAAAAGCCTTTACAATTTATTAAGTACAAGTAACATACAAATATTTAAATAAAAAATAATTAAAAGGCATAGTTTTGATGTAGTTTTTTTTAAATCTATCATTCTATTAACAATTTGATATGTTCTATAATCTAACAAGTTCTGGTAACTGAAATAAATATAATAAGCAAACTCACACTAGCAAATGAATTATTGTTCATAACGACTAAACTTTGTAAAGGCGGAATTTGTTTCACAGAATGTGGGATAGAAGAATGTTCCGACAGCTGTAAGAATGGGAAAATATGTGACTGCAATCCGAGGGATAATGATATATGTGAGTACCTAATATACTTACGTAGCATTTAGATCGACTTAATATCGTTAAACTAAATTGAAGACTATCACTTCTAAATCTATTTTACGTTTAAGAAGTCAAATGATTTTAAACCCTTAGAAAAATATATCTAAGATATCCGGGCCTGTATTTACATTCAATATATAATGCTACTTATGTAAAATGTCTTAAATTACAATTAATGTTCTTGTATTAATGAAGTTAAAGACTTTAAAAGGTGGTTTTGATATTTGTACGTATTATAAAGGCCTATATATTTTTTATGGACGTTAAATATACGCAAATACGTTAATATATTATCTGTAACATTACACATTTGAATAAATGACATAGTTTTTTTCTATTTACATAGACTAAAGTAAGACAGATTTTAGTAAAGTTTTTTTATCTTTTAGCATCCGCTCGGTTCGAGACGAAAATTCAAATAGTAGATCATGGCGTAAAAGATATATCACATGAAATTATTAAACAGGTAAGTAACTACTAACTAAATAAAACACTGTCAATAGTTTAAGTCAAGAAATGAATTAGATAAAATACTTTTAACTACGAGCTAACGTTACGGGTGCCTCACATTGATTCCCGGGTTGGGAATATTCGCTGTTTAGAACCGTTAAAAGTGTTTTATTAAGAGTGCTACGTACGAATGATCGTAAAGTATGATATCATTTTAGCTATCTTTTATTCTTTAGATGAAAAAAATTACATTAATTAATGTTTGTCTTTAAGATCACCGGCTACTTGCAAGCTTCAAATATTTCACTACACGACGAAGTAGAAGTCTTAAATATAAGGTAAGGAAAAGATATAACACCCGTTAGTAACAAATAAGGCCATTGTTTGTTTATATATATGTATAGGGGCATATACAAATGAATAAAAAAAAACTATTTTTCGTACATATTGAATGAATCAGTCGTATTTTAGTTACAATAACTCAGATTGATTGATTTTTCTTCAAAGGTCATATGTATTACCTGCCAAAAACATTTTTATGTCATTCTCCTAAAAGAATTTTGATTGATAAGACATAAAAAGAATTTCACAGTTCAACGGTGGGTGGTTCGCGGTCCGCCTGGGTGAGGGTCTGGAGTGCACGACGAGAATCTGGTGCTGTTAGGGCTGCGCTTGCGCGGCTAGCTGCTGCTCGGGCGCCTGCTGATGTGCGAGCGATTCGACTGGTGCCAGATACGACCTACCTTCATATGCAACCTGCCCTCACTTTACACGTAAGACCTCCCATAAAGCTTTCAAGGTGTTCAATCATTCGATTAGAAGATGATCGACTTCTAGTCAAATAAACGAATGCCTTTATATTTTTTGGAGTATTACTCTGCTCACAAAGAGAATTAAAGATATATTTAATTATAGAATGGTAAATTAATTAAACATGAAAAACATAACAGTTTAAAACGCGAAGTTTATACATTAATATATTTTATGTACGAAATGTCGGGCAAAGTCAAGATAAGGTAACTAATATTTTTCGCGTTTTAAACCATTAATATGGTATTGTTTGGGTACTACTCGCATAAACATACATTATAGTAATACAGATAATTTATTTATGAATATTATCCTGCATCGACAATGATCGTCTCAATTCGAGTAAATTCTATAAATATTAATTAATTCGTTATTTTATTTTTAGAAATTGATTGTGAATCAAAGACCAGAAGTGTGGGAAGGTTCTGAATTCATTTTAAGTTGTATGGCGTACGGTTCGCCTGATATTACATTTACGTGGTTCAAAGATGGAGTGAGGATCAACTTTAACGGGACAAACAGGTTTGTTTTTCATTCCTTTTAAAATAATATGTAGTAATTAGCTGATTGTTGTTTGCAAGATAAATATTATTATGTTGACATAACTGTAACAAATAATTGGTGATAATGCATTAATTTTTTTTACTAATTGATAGACGTATAACATCGCCGACATTTTTTAAATAATTTAAAGAGGAATCATTATTTCAGACATTTTTTTTTTTTTTTTATGTTTTTGCTGCGCACGCAACGGTAGCTCTCAGAGATTAATCAATTTCAACTGTTGTTGTATACTCTTTCTCGATAAATGGTTTATCTTAAACAAAAACAAAAAACCTGTAACTCCTGATATTAGCGCCTTCAAATAAACAAATTCTTCAGCTTTATATAATATTAGTGTAACAAATGTTCAAATATTGTAATTGTTTTAAGTATGTTTTTGGTTTTAGAGATATTTGGACTCGTACGGTAGCAGAAGACGCCTTAGGCCGTCGAATGTCTGTGCTAGGAGTATCGGAAGCAAAGAAATTGGACAGTGGGAAGTGGTCGTGCGCAGCTGATGACGCAGGAAGAAGAAGATGTAGTGCACTAAGAATAACTGTTCTTAATCCGCCTGATATACGTCTCATGCCGTCCACACTTACCGTTAATAAGGTTATTAACGTTTATAAGTCGTTAATAATAGTTAATAACGTAACAGTTCATCCTTTACAGCTGTGATACTAACTTATGATACAGGAGCATAGACAAGCCTAGGGCTCATTTGATTGACGGTTAAATTCGGCAATCAATAGACTAAAACTAAAATCCGATTTAACTATACGGTTTTTTCACTGTGGACCGTGGTCTGGACGGAATTCCGATATTTCTACTACTCATTTGAAATCTAGATTTCCAGATGATCTCCAACATGTTTCAGAAAAATTAATAATTGATTATAAACATTTTCAACCCACTGGAGATCGAACTCCCCACTAGTTTATTATTAGCCATTACGTTTTTAGGGCGACAATGTCAGCATTACCTGCCTAGCTGGTGCAGGGCGGGTACACGGCGCTTTAGGTTTTAGCTGGGCGCGCGAACGGAGTTTACTGCCTCTCGCTCCTGGACGGGAGTTGTGGGAAGATCTATATCCGGCAGGCAGCTTGCTACGGCTTTTTAATATTCAGGTATTGATATTTTTTTTTTATTAAAATTTTATTTCTTACATTCATCATTATATATCATTAAGTAGATTACTGTGAAAGGCAACTTTTTGTAGAAATCTGGTGAGTTTCGTTGCCAAGTGTCATCTGTGGCTGGTACAAATTCGAAATCGATAACAGTATGGACGTTAGGATCTACAGACGAAACTTGCCAAAGCGAAGCTTCCCATGGCTTACGGTGGCCACGAACAGCTGCAGGAGCTAATGCAATCTCTAATTGTCCTCCAGGATATGCTGGGGAAACTAGTAGGTATGGACGTACGGTTCTATAATATGTACATGACTTTAGTATAAAATAAAGCGCTTATCACAGATCAAACAAAAAGATGCTGTATTAAGTATTCCAAACGTCACGTTCTTGTTATAGTAATACACTAATATAATTGGCGTTTTAAACCGTTAAGAAATTTCACTTTTTTATGTTTTATCAATTTAAATAAACTTAGGTGATTTTATAACAAAATATCGCCATGTGTTAATGTTTTTATGTAACGGCTATGTCTTAATTTTTACAACGTTTTAGGTTTTGCGAATCCAAAACTTCATTCCACGATGTAAAATGGAATCTGCCTAATTTTTCTGGTTGCATTGCAGAGTCGCTACGAAGTATTTATGATGAAGTAAGAATACCTTTACACACTGTAGACATAGCGCCATATTCAATTTAATGTAACTAAATTTCCAAGTGTTTCTTTTAGTTTATACGAATATCGTACGGGTATTCTTGGGAGTCCGTGCATAACGTAGCGAGACAGTATGGTGCTGTACTCGCTTCCCTGCCTGCTTTACCTGGATCAGCCACTTTTCCACTTGAACACATTACACATATGCTTGCCTTTCTGCGTTCTTCGGCTGCAAAATGGTCAGATAAAATAAGCAGCGCTGAACCCTTGTTACAAATTTATGACGTTCTGCTGAGATATCCGGATGCTTTTTTAGATGAAGAGGTAGGAAGATTTTATTAGATTTAAGATGTATTATCTACATTATATGCGTTTGTCTGTTTGTTTGAACGCGCTAATCTTAGGTACTACTGGTTCGAATTGAAAAAAATATTTTTGTGTTCATTAGAGCATTTACCAAGGAAGGCTATAGACTATACATTACATATGAAGGAACAGCGGGAAATGTGGAAAACATTGGGAATCATTGTGGGTTTCCGATGAGTACGCTGCGAAAAAGGTTCAAACATATGTATAAAATAATGATTCCCCTTTAAATGATCTAAAAAATATTCCGCCACTATATATCATATATATCTTTTAAAATTATTTCGCAAGAACGACGGGACGCAATAGGCGTCATGAGTAACAGCAATAATATTATAGAAAATTGCAAAAACGCGTTTCCACGCGGACGTAGTCCTAGTCCTAACACTGCTAGAAAAAAATATTTTGGATAATGATTCGGTAACACCACTAATTTTTGCAGAAAATTAATGAACTCCAAAACGGAATAATGGATACGGCATCTTTGAGAGAGAATTTGGATGTAAGCTATCAGGAATTCCTTGTAAAAACAAAACCTGTGCGTGAAGACAATGCGGCTCATTTTGATTTTCCAAGACAATTTGGACCTGAAGAGTGGTCATTGATATCGGTGGGAGTAGAGTTACTTGATAGAATAGAAAATGTATCTGTGGTGGCTGTTTTATATAAGGATCTTGCATCACGTTTACCTTCACTAAGAAGATCTATTGAATATAAGTAAGGACAAATCATAAATTATAATTTTTCCAATTCATATAGGATTTTATATCGTCTATATCTTTGTAGAAGCGGTCGTGAAATGGAGTATAGATTGTCATCTGCGCAAACGCAGCTCTCAGCGAGTGGAGGCAACTTGGACACGACAATGCAACATACCGTTACTCTTCTCTTTGTACACAGTAAAAACTATAGTTCCATAGGTATTTATCTTTATAAATAAATAAATATATTTTGTAATATTATGAAAATAAATATTCTTTTTTCTGTCAAGCGTCTAAGTTATCATGCGCCCTACGAACATCTAGAGATGCGAGTGTGTGGCTACGGAATGTGTGTGAAGTTCGAGTTCCAGAACCAACACATGTATCGTGTCGGTGTCGAGGTCTTGGCACTTATGCTCTTTTTACCGTAGCGCGATCTACACTTGTGAGTAAACAGGCTTATATTATTAAAACTACGATTCACAATAAACTTGACGAAGTAGGGAATAGCTTTTTTCTAAAAAATACTTTACATACAAATCAGTCATCATTACTTAAGGTAAGTTACCGTGAAAATTTAGAAATATAATCCAACAATTCCTCAAACTTTTACTCCAGAAAGCTTTTGAAATCCATAAACTTATTACTTCGTGTACCTACTTAAATGAGAGTTTTTCTGGAACTGTGAAAGTCTGAACTCCAATAACTTCATCGTGTTCTGGCTAACTGATTGGTTAAATCGAGTTAGAAAACTTTTCTATAACCTGAAGATAAGTTTGAATTAAATTAGAGATCAAAGATTACGATTTTGCGAAAGTTTCGCCGTATCTTAGTAAACTTCAGGGTACGATCTGTTCAAATTAATCCTCTATCAATTCAGACAGATACAGAGAAGGATTTGCGTGGTGTGGTGAAGGTGACTGTTGGTCTGGGAGGGGCATTGTGTTTGACAGCTGCGGCGTTGCAGCTGCTAGCGTTAGCTCCAGCAAGGAAAGTTCACCTTCCAACGCTATTGAAGGTTGCTACAGCAGGATCACACTCAGCAGCACTGTTCACATTATTGGAATGTGAAGATGGACAGGTAAGGTAAACACGACAATACAAGCACAATATATAATTATATGGAAACGAACAGACGAGCTTTTAGAGACACAAGCTCGTAAATTTAATAGTAGCAATGTGTGATCAAGGTCGATCCCGACCAGTTCCAACATTTTCTAATTATATTAGAAAAGCCGTCAATTTAATCGAAATATGTAGCCGAAAGGTCCAATTTGTGGATCTTCAACTATCAAAAACTGCAAGAAAGCTCCAATATGTTATATGGCTAGGCTGACTATCAAGCATAAGGAGTCCATGCTTGCCTGTGCCCCTCTGTCATAAAAAACAAACTTAAAATTACGACCATCAAATTTGTGGGTTAGAGTTTTAATCACATCTGTAACACCAATTTCTTCAATTCTACCAAAGTATGTTCTCCTTAAAAAAGCAGACAGTAAATCTCATGGTTTTAAGTACTACAAATATTTAAGCCTACTCATTTTTTTTATAAGGAGGAAGCCTGCCCTGGTGCGTTAGGTTGGGTGTGCGCAGCTTGTTGGTGCGCTGGATGTGGAGCTTTATGTGCTCAACCTCTTTTATTGCAAGCTGAGCTTGGAGCAAGGGCTCAGCGGGCACCCTCAGTTGGTCTATTAGCGGGTACGTCACTGTTTGAATATAATTTTTTTCGTTGTGATAAATTTATTAGACATACAAATCTTCTAACTTGTCTTATTCTATGTATGTAACGAATATAGTTTTAAGGTAAAGGTGTAAAATGTTTATGTTGTACTAGCTGTGCTCGCGACTACGTCCCCGTAGCATAGTTATTTTGTGCATAAAAATTTATTTTTGCAAACATACTACTGATCTTTAACAGTATAGCCACGACGCCGTCCGCGTCCCGTTGTTCTTGCAAGTTAATATTAAAAGATAGACATATACATTCCCGCAACGCACAGCACTGAACTTTAAAGACGAATAATTTTGTGTTTTTTTTCACATTCTCCCCGTTTTTTTCGCAGCCTTTATGTTTATAGCCAAAAGCCTTCCTTGTTCAATGATCTACTCAATAAAAAAAAAATTATTCACCAAATATAAGGCAGGCTCTTAACGTAGTCGGAAAATGCAATGACACATATATTTTTTTTATTAGGTGTTTGCACGTTGTCCTGGCTAACAGCACGGCTGTGGGGAGGTGCACCTTTGCAGTTAGGTTCAGCAGCCCAAGTGGTCTGCACCGCGGGCTGTGCCCTTCTTATAATCCTTTGCGTTGCTCTTACAATTTGCGCGGCGTTGCGCCTGCGCATCATCAGGCATAAAGTTCCCGCTGAAAGGCGATCATATTTCAAGGACAGGTATGTTAAACCAACCTTACTAAACGACCATTCGCTATTTTGGCGCGGCTGTAATAGACTATAAGATATTTTTTGACAAATTACATGTGCCCTAAACAAAACTAAACTAAACGGACATAATTATGAATAAACCTTTTGTACCTTTTTTTCGTGCTATATAGTTTTGTACTGTACTGTACCCCACTTGCTACGAACAAAAGGCGACGACATATCAGTGTTTTTTTATAGAGGTCGAGCTATCCGCCATACTCTTGTATTGGTGGTAACAACGACTGCAGTGCAAGCAACCGGGGTCGCGTACGCGCAGCCGACTGATCGCAATGTTGCACATGTAGCTGCGTTTGCATGTGCAGCACTAACTAACGTATGTGTTTTTTTCTATAATTTTTATATTGAGTTTTACTTTAGTTGCAAGAGTTATATTCTTAAAGGTGCTATTTGACTGAATTAAAGAATCAAATTGAAAGTTCAAAAATTTTCAATGTGTTGTATTTTAAGTGACGTCACGAACATTGGGTGTATGTACATCATATGATCTACAAACATTTGAATTTTATTTGATTGAAGTAATAAAATTAGTGAAACATTCATTTGTTTATTAATACAGAGAATAGAAGATGTGTATAAGCAAGTGACGTCATTATAAACCTGACCAATCAGGAGCATCACGTGACACATTTTCAAACAAGTTAATTTTATTTGCGTTCTTAATTTAAAACATTTAATATTTTAAATATATGTAACCGGTTTACTATTTCTAAACTTTTAATTAATACTGATAACAGGAATTGACGTTATATTTTTCGCATAGTCAAATGGCCCCTTGTGTCTGTACAGGGTATAGCGATGTTTCTATGCTACGTATTGTGCGATGAAGAGTGTGTTCGTCTGGCGCGCAGGGCAGCAACAATTCCTGCTACTAATAGCTGTGCCCACCAGCGTGCACAGGATACTTCTTTAAGTTGTAAGTAGCAATAATATACAAGAACATCATCAACCTTTAAATATGACGTCACACGTTTTATCTCTCTTTGGGGTGCGTTATCTTTGCGTTTTATTTTTCTATCGTATTCAAAGACTAATTGTACGACTATTTTATTATTCATTCGATTGAAAGACAATTCTTGGCACTGTTCCAAAAGGATAGGTCTATCGTTTAAATCAGTAGAAATGTTATATTCACAATTTTATTATTTTGGTAAAAAAAGTCACAACTACCAAAATTATATCTTTCTTCGATCTCTTTGAATGATACACGCTTTTTGCGCAAATTTTTCCTATTTTTTATGATTTATATTCAAAAATTGTTTGTAAATGATTCATAGTGTACATAAAACAGAGCGGTGAAGTAGAAAGCTGCGCAGGCGCAGATGACACCGCTTCGTCACCTCTTGCGGTGTATCCTCACGTTTTAGACAGCCCTAATGATATTTACAGGTAACAAACAAACTGCATAATTCTACAAGTGGTATTTTGTTCATTTAAATATTACGAAAAGATAATTTATATTTGTTTTAACACTTTATTTAGTTTTTTAATGGCTTTTAAATGTTTATTATTAAATGAAATGAATTCTCAAAAATAATGATTTATTGGATTATAAAAAATGCATCAAACAGGAAATGATTTTATTTTTAACTGTTTGATTGCAATAAATTTGGATTAATTATTTTTGGTCTTATAAAATGTGTTAATGTTGTCTAATTTACAGAAGACGGTCGAACCCCGACATCCGAGCTGACATCGTCAGGTGCGTTGAATACAGGGAACTACCAAGCACGAGATACGATACAAATATAACGCGAGTTTGTGATCTAATATCGCACCAAGCTCCCAAAGACTATATGGCCCGTGTGTGCGTAGAGTTAGGGGTCCCAGAGCCAGCTGTAACAACCCCTATCCTTACATGTTCAGTAGACTTCGAACCATATACAGAACGATTCGACACACCCAAGGAAACGTGTAACATTTGTGTCCAATCAAACCCAGACGTATCGAAAATTCAGCCATTTAAAAGCTGCCTAAAGAAGTCAAAGGACCTGGCTTCATCAGTTTCCCTGCCTTCGATTGAAGCGAAAAGTGAAAGTTTCAAGTCTAATATTGAACAAGTAAATAGAGAGTGGAATAAAGCGTACGATTCCTGTGAGAGTAATCATGTGATAAACAAAATAACAAATGATCTGGACTTCTTACTTAATAGGACTCATGAGAGAAACAAAGACGCTTCAGAACCGACTTGAAAATGTTCTGCGATTGTAGGTCTGTGTAAATATGCGTTAATCCAACGTCGATGATTATAGATGCAACTAGTCGAATTATTTAATTTATATTCATCTTGTTATTGTTCAAGTAGAGTGAAAGATATATTTTTAATTATTATTATATATACAATTGACTATATGACGTCATACAAGTCGTTTTTTTAAACATAAACTTCGCTGTTAATCAATCATTTTTAGTAATAGCTAATTAAAGACGCAACAACAACGTACCTTAATAGCACGAAATTCTGCGGATGCCGGTTCGAGTTCCGCCCGTGTCGTAAAATATGAAAGTCAATTTTTTATTTACATTGTGCCATCGTATGCAGGACGTGTGAAAAATATTAAAGTTTTCAAAGTTATTTTTTTTTTTATAATTAATTAATATATTTATTAAATAACATGTAAGTAAATAAGTTAATGATAAATACTTTTATATTTTACGCGAGTGTACAATTTAAATTAATATATTTAGTTTATTTAATTACTTAAGTCATTCAAGGTAATAATATTCGTTTAAATTAAAGTGTTTTATTTAAAAGTTAATGATATTTCGAGGACATCATTAATGTAAGTTATTTTTTATGTTAAATATAATAAACAGTACAAATGTATTTAAATGATTGGTAAATAAATTATTTACTATATCAATAGAGGAGGTAATTCTGAATTTTTATGAAATAAATTATAGTCTTATATGTAATATTAAATTATTGTTTAATATAAAACATTATTTCATCCGCCTCCGATAATACTCAATCTTTATAATAGAATATAAAATAACTTATTTTTATTGTTTAATTCAAAAGTATCTATCTAATTAATTATAGGTGTAAATTGTATTTTATATGGCAATTAAGTTTCATTGAATAAAAGTCTTGAATACATTGTGTTTCTTTATCAACCTTCTCAATTAGTTTTGTTAAAGAAAATTATTTATGAAGATAAGTTAAACAGTATATTTGGCAATTTAAAAATCGAAAATAAATTGAACAAATTTTCGATTTTTAAATTGTATAGTGCCTTTGTGCAGTAACATGTAAAAAATAATAAAGTTTTCAAAAGTATATTTGGCATTCAATATAAATTTTTAAATTGGTGACAGGGTTTTATTATAAATAACGTATAGGGACACTTATATCAATAATTTTTAACATTAAGTTATCAAGTTTTTTTTATTTGAAGTTTGGTTGTTAAGTTACAACTCCCAGTATTACCACTTCTACAAAATTTACTCGATGTTTTAGATTTAAAGCCCAACATAAGATATACATAGACCATGCATTATAGATATTTCGACAAATTTGATTACAATAAAAACGTCCTTTGATTAATTAAAAGATAGACATATACTTCATGTATTTTTAGATTATTTAGAAGAATACTTAATACTGTCTATAGTTTACGCGAGTAGTACACATTTAAATAAAACACTTTAACGGTTTAAAACGCGATATATTAGTTAAAGTTATTTGAAAATGATTGTTAACTTCGGCCCGACGTTTCGGATGCTTTGCAACAGTTAATTGCCGTTAAAGTGTTTTATTTAAAAGAAGTAGTGATAGTTCTTTGATACATATTTTTTGGGTATCTTATACAGTTTTCGTAACCTACGCAATTGAATTCTTCGAAGGTGAATAATTTTCTCCCATTTTTCCACATGTTTTTTTTCTTCTGTATCTTCGTTTTATAGCCTAAAGCCTTCCTCGATAAATGCTCTATCTATCAGAAAAATATAAAATAATAATAACTTATAAACCAGTGGTTTCTGAGACACACATTCTTCAGATCTATGATATTAGTATAAAAGTATAGATATAAATAAATACCCTTGATTCGGTAGTTCGATAAAAAGCACATTTCAACATGAGTTTGTACTTTAGTTTTTTGCGCTAACCGATGGCTTTTGATCTGTCGCCGTTGCGTGGCGTTGTACGCGGATATTTGATGAAACTTTTTATCTTCCCGCGAAGCGAATGAACGCCCTAATGTATTTTTTATTATCAACGATCTCTTTCGTACGCTTTTGGCGTAGGAACGTCTGATAATATTTTAAAGCCGCTTGGCAGTGGCGTTAAATATTTAAATTATGCCTTTCATGTTGTCATTTTTATGGTCGGTACTGTGAATAGGTACGGCTGTTAGTGTGGGTTTTAAATTGTATTTTTTAAAGGTGAACTTACATACTTTTGGTGTAGATATCAAAACGTCGGTCTCTTATCAAAGGAAGCAGAATTTACTACAGAATTAAGTTGTCAGCTTATCTTAAATTTTCTACCATGCCCCCGCGGCCGCGGATATTGTGTACCGCCTCAGAAGTTATATTTGCCTGCGTCTGATAAGCTTCTCACGCTGTAAAGGCATAACAATTTGTAAGCGAACTTGAACTTATATTACTTATTATACTAGATCCGCCTCTGTAGCTAAATGAATAAAAGTTAACTAGCATTGCGTTAAACGAGACAGGTGGGGTTCGAATCCCAGATTAACAATAGATTATTGGTCAAGAGGAGCACAGAAATGTGATCAACTACTTGGCTATAAAAGAACCGATATGAGAAACTGTCTTGTCCCCATGCCCCATTAGAGGAAACGGGATATCACGTTACTGTTATTTTTCCATATTAAGTAAAAGTTAATGCAGATTTTGGTTATATACGCTAAGTAATAATTAGCAAGATAAACCTCTAAATATTTTTATTCACCCTTATTGTCTGGGCGTTTTTTTTTACAATAAAGTATTTTTTCTGTTTCAGTTCTTGAAACATTTTTATTCTTCACACGATAGATAAATAAAAAGGGTGATTTTACAGTGAGGTATTTTTTATTGTCTGTAGTTATATTATTATATATATATATATATATATATATATATATATATATATATATATATATCGCGTTTATATAGTTAAAAGTTTTTTTTTTATAATAGACAGACAAGAATGAGGTACACTTCATACTAGGTGAAATAGCCCAGCAATATAACATCTAAACAAGATGTGCCATCGACCTATTTTTGTTTTTTAATATTCGGAAATCCATAGACTGATACTGAAACGCGATTAAGCTTTACGGCTTTTTATCTATTGACGGTGGGTCATCAATTTAATATACAGACTTCCAGACGAAATCCAACATGATTCAGAAACAATAGAAATTGTTTTGAAAAATCGATCGATTTTGACTCGATTATCGAATAATCGAGTCATAATCGAATCCGCGATCCGTTGATTATTTGCCATACATTGTAGTATTATTAGACAGGTCTTTAGATTGTCTATTATATTATGGTAGTTTTTCTTACAGGTCACAATGGCGGTACAGGATGAAATAGCGAAGTAAGCCGTCGCGTCGCAGAGCAAAGCCCTGACAAGAGTTTGCATAATCATCTCCTATCGCTACTCAGTACATTAAGTGCAGTGCAAATTTGCTGCCGCAGATTACCCAAGGCTAGCGGTGAGGAAATAAATTATGTCTAACAATAACCGTTGGCGTTCTAACAAAGAGGTCTCCTTGCTAGGTTAGGTGAAACTTTAACTGCCTAGAGCTCAGACTGACGAGTAAACTATAGACTATAAGGAACGGTCTGTGTGGCTGTACGTGCTCTCACTTACCATTATTTTGATTAAGAAAACCTGATGCAATATTATGTCATTTAAAAATCGAAAATAAATTGAAAAAATTCTCGACTTTGGCAGGATTTTTTTTTTCAATTTATTTTCGATTTTTAAATTATAAAGTGCCTTCATGTGCAATAACATGTAGAAAATAATAATGTTTTCAAGCAATATTATATTTCACTTGCGTGGAACAGTGAAAATGACTATTAGTCAAGTAAAAGCACGGAACACATTCGTAGTGGGTTCGAGTCCTGTTTATGTCGTATTCAGATTTATTTAAAAGGTTGCCACGCTATCACCGACGATGCTTTTTTATGATTAAAAATGCTGGCTTAGGTTATAAGAAAATGAGATAAGTTTTCGGGTTTATCTCAGTAACCGTTATATAGTATTCGAAAAAACTTATAATTGTCTATATAGCATGTCTCTAGAGAGAAAACAAATATAGCAACAGCGGGAAGTTTGTATTCTATACTATGTCCTATCGGGGATTTCTTCACTACGGAATCAGTGAAGAAATCCCCTTTCCCCAATGTTGAGCACGAAACATACATATGTCACTACTCATGGATGGATTGAATATACGGCCGAGTAATTAATAAGAACTTTGTCCTAACTTAAATATGTATTGTTTTCATGGAATTTGAACCTTGAAACACTCACGTGAAACCATTGAGCTACGGCGATGGTCTATAAAAAAGTACTGAGTTCAAAAGTAATTCTTCTTAAAGAAAGTAATTATTTCCAAATTTGAGAATATCCATACGCTCATGCCTGAGCAGAAGTCACGTAACCCTTTCAATATCGGTTTAATTTCACAGGAGGCGAGGCGGTGTCGCGGTGTCAGCACTTTATGACACATCTGTCGACACCACCCAGACACCCACTTGTTTAATCCTTCATGATTTATTGCATAATTGCTCATAAGTTCCCATAAATCATCGCGTTGCAAATTGATTGAACTTACCAGTGTTGTGGTGCATTTTCTAATGAATGAGCTAACTATTTTTATTTATTACTTTTAACGAAATTTAATTATTCACGTTGAATTTAATTTAATATATCGTTATTGCCACGTCAATAAAGAACAAATAAAGTTTCATTATTTAAATAAAACACTATAACGGTTTAAAACGGTATATATTAATTAAATGTGTACTGCTCGCGTAAACAGACAGTTTCATTATTTAAAAAAATCACACCAATATGACTAGAAATATGTAAAATGTCTTATTATTATAACCAAAGCAATATTTGTTTTCAGTATTAAAAATATCGGCTAAGCTCGAGTCGAACTCGTGCGTTCCGTATCTGTGATAACAACGACAATCACATGATTACAGCTCTTGAAATAATCAG